GATAAGAAATGAAATCATTTCCTTGTAAAGTCAAGAAGAGTAAATAGCATTTTAACAAAAACAAAAGTTATTTTAAGTTCCTATAGGAACTTTCTAGTTGTGAACCTTGTGGACGAGATCAGATCAAGTATCTTGTCCTGTACACATGTTATTACTGTTTTCCCCACCAAAAAATAATCTCCTGCTCCTTTATTTTAAATGTGTAATTAGAAACTAAGTAAATTTTTCTGCATTGAAAATGTTAAGAAGGCTGCTTTGGCAGCATGCTGTTATTTCCCTTGTGTGACACTTATCCTGCAACAGGAAAATAAATATAATCAATCTTTACCCAGATGACCATATTTGTTTGTGTAGGTCATAAAGAGTCATCAGTATTATTTTTCAGTCTGTTTCATTACCAGCTAAATACTCCTTATTGGAGCTTTAATGTTTGACATTGCTGTGTTTTGACAATAATCTGCATTCTTTCCCCTGATTTATCATGGAACCAGATCTGATAAAATGTTGTTACTTCACAGAGCTGCAAATCAAGTATGTGACAGCCAAAGCCTGTGAGAGTGAGAAGCGTGAGAGCAAAGATGGGGAAATGTAATCAAGACTATAATTGCTTTAATCTTCAATAGTATCAGTGAATAAGAAAAATAACTAAAAAGATGAGGAAACAAAGGTTAGGTTTAATTTTAAAGTTCCTATGAGGAGTTTTTTTTATATTGTTCTGAAAGTGACTGAAATTAATACTGATGCCTTTTCATAACAAACAAAAGCAGAAAGACCAGTATGATCAAGATGACATTTTTTAATAAAGTTACTTTGTATGCCTGTCCGCCCTGCTGCAGGGTAGGTGTTAAACAAGGCAATTAACCGCTCGCTGAATTACACATTGGACATTTCTTTTTTGTCAGAGCACATCTTATGAACAGGAGCATGATCAGCAAAGAGATAAATCATCCCTTGATTGTCCACAGAAGTCACCTAAATTGACATATCCTCCAGTTCCTCACAGGAGCCTTAAACAGATGTGGAAATTAAACGCAATCCACCATGAATCAAGTCAATATATTGAAAATTACTATTTGATGTTTGTGCTCTTTTTTAACGTGACTGATTAGCTTCCTTTGATTTATTCTCAGAACTACTAAGTTAATGCAGCTTTATTTTTGTGCATATGTGAGTGCTAACAAATAAAACAACAATGAAGTGAAAAGGTTTCAGACAATTCACATTCCCATAAGGAATAATGCAAACACATTAACACGTGGACTCAGAATTGTCTCTTGAACTTATAACCCTCACCATGCCCCACCTCCTGACACACATGTCCAGATTTTAAATTATTACTCAGGATTCATGAACACGTGCAGAGACATGACCCCCACCTCTCACACATATGGTAACGTGAACTTTAATGTGGTGAAAAAGTGTGTTCATGTTAAGGGGTTTCAGAAAATCTAGACAAAGCTTGGGTCACCGATTTATGACAGCCAAGACTGATGACACTTTAGATGAGACAAAACAGAGCTATTGTTGTTGTCTCATCTAACGATTGTGATCATCAGTAACAACACTTTCCCTAGAATACTGTCTTTGCAAATCCAGTAAAACCTCCCCTTTATAAAGCTGAGCCAGATTTTAATCAAACATCTCAAGAATGAGACTTCTCAGGACAGCTGAGAGGCCTCACCCTTGTTGCCCAACACTATTGTGTGTTTATGATTTACTGGCATATAATGTGCATGGAGTATAGGTGTTAAATCTGCCAAACCATGAGAAAGCTATAAAACAGATAGAGGTGTCTGCACGTGTGTGTGGGTGTGTGTGGGTGTTTATTCAGAAGTGAATCATCAGATATTTTTCAGTTTCTCCTATTGTGTTTTGTGTATCTGTAAAATGATTAGAAAGAGGGAAAGCTTGCACATAAATATTCTCCAAATAGTTGCTGGACAGAAGAGATTTGAGTTGTAGAGTAAAGTTCCACACCAGGGTAGAAATTAAAGGCATGTGCTTGTGAAAAGTTAGGGAAGAACGAACAAGAATGCAGGTAGAGGAAAGAAAGAAGTACTGCGGTAAGAACAAACCAACTAGGTCAATAAAGCCAGTGAAAACAACCATTAGAAACGTATTGCACACCCTTTGATTAATCTGGAAGATCGTTTATACCAGGACAAGGACGCTCCCAGAAAACTAAGTGGAACACAATAAGTGGTAAGCCTGAAGCATGCCACTTTGTGCAGCAACTTTTCTGGCAGCATTTTAAACACTTCCATTGCTCTCTGTTATTACAAGACTGTAATGAGAAATGTGCCTAAGGCATGTTTGAATAAACTTTAATTATCGTAGTCCTTTTGTATTAATCCCTTCTTGGCTGGCTTATGATAACATAAATACTACTCATTCATAAATCTCTAAAGGTCCAGATTTCTCTTCAATAGGAAAATGTATATTTGACAGTGAGAACGTAGTGGTCTGATAAATGGACATGTGAAAAATAATTGCAAAGACTATACATTAAAGGCTTTATATGCGATTTTTCACACTTAATAAAACTAAAAACACTAAAATACTCTTTACATTTTTTATGATTGAGACAAAGACCCTTTTAGTATTTTCTTAAATAGTTTAAAGGCTTTCTATGTGATTTTTCACACTTAAATATAATATAAATCAAGTATATCCTCTGAAAATAACTCTGTGAGTCATGACTGTCTACAATGGGTGTAACACCCGAGTCCCACTGTCTGTGATGTTTTCAGAGTTTTCAGAGTCCTATCTTCAGTTTGTTTACATCGCCAGGACGGCCGGCTGACTCCTCCCCTCAAGTATAAAAGTTGTTTAATTGAGGGACTAGAGAAAATAAGAATAACATACTGTACTCACTGCTTAACTGTGTTTCTAGATCACGCTCATTTCAGGTAAATTTACATGCAGTGTGAAGATACGAGCATAATAAAGATCACTAGCATTAGCATGCTAACACAACAATGCAGCGCAAGTTGTTTTGGTTTCATGCTGGTGCTCAAGGGCGACATCTTTTGGATCAAAAAATCACATAAAGCTTAAAGTGAGTGTACAGTTGTACTCTTTCAGTCTTTTTTGCTTCGTTGTTAGTTCTTATTGGCATCAGAACAAACTGATACATCAACTATTTTCTGACGACAATATAGCTGTTAGACAACAGCATAGTTTATAGCAAGAGATGAAAATAGAGTCAGGACTGGAGAGTTGGCTGCACTTGCATGCACGTCATCAGGTGACCCTCCATGAGTTCCTGGATTGCATTACAACGGACTGCATCCGATCAGTGGACTGATTGGCATGAGATGCAGCTTGGGAGTACCAAAATACCTTCTCTAGATCTCAGAAATCATGTTTATTGCTGTTCCTACAAGACCATCCAGTTGTATTAGAAAGGCAGGGAGGTTCACTATGTTAATTTGTTTTTTTTAGCTAGCTTGTTTGGGCAGTTACATTCTTATTTAACACTGTGTTCCTGTTAATTGTATAAAAAAAACGTTATTTCTTTCAATGTTTATTTATAACAGCTGTTGAATTAACTGTATTGCTGATTTTGGGATCAGGGGAAAGTATTGCAGGGCTCCTTCAAGTTGAGTGGTAATGCTGAAAATGCAGCCTATATAAATATAATTACCAGCTTATTTTATTATTTTATATAATAGTGTGAAACCCTATGGCTAAGATTTCCTCATATATACCTGTCACAGTCTCTTGATGTTCAGAGGTGTAATCCTCTATTCTTTGATTTCATGCATTACAGGGAATACTATTATTCATGCATTTATTAAGAGATATTGTAAAGTAAGAGTGGGCCTGCTCAAGCTGCAGGGGTTCTTTTCCCCTATATCCGTTCCCTTCTTACATGGCTTTTTGCAGGAAATGTTGACTTTGGAAAATATATTTATTGAAGAATAAGCACATTTATTCTAAAATCACAACAAGTTATACAGATTTTACAATTAGAGCTGCCTCAATAGCAACGTTTAGCTGTAGCTCTCTTGAAACAAGCTACCCTTTTTGTTTTAACTCACATTTACACACAACATCCAAATACTGTCACGTAAGATACGGAGAACAGGTCGCACAAATTAGGGCATCACAGAGACAAGTTTTGTGCCTTGTCACTGACATAGTCATCGTCCTTAAACTCCTGTTCGGTGTTTACTTCACGTGTCAACTACTCCTAAATCAATTTCTCTTTGATAAGAGCATCATCCATAGGGGAGGTCTTTTCTGCATGGCATAGCAATTGACCAGAATCAGGGTATTCATCACTTCCGTTGTAGCTGGTAAAGATGTAACTTTCAACAGTTTACATATCAGAAGTGTGTGAACTTTACCTGTTAATTTTATTACTGAAATGAAACAAAAGGACTCCATTATAAGTTGTGAATTTTTTTTGTTATTTTCACTAAATTAATTAAAATGTAACTTAATTATTTTGTTACTAATTGAGTACTTTCCTGAAGGAATGTGTAAAATTCTACCAGGCTGTCTGATTAGGAAATGCCGGTGATGGTGATTATCACTATTCTAAGTGCATAGGCAGGGGATGTGAACAATATAAACATATACCCTATGGTTTCCATTAATATAACATTTGGAGGTTTGTTAGAAATGAATAGTGTTGTGTGAACATCAGAGAGTTGTTTATAACCAGATAAAAGCATTTCATTATTTTGGGATGCAGGACTAAACAGGACCTCATTCAGAACTAAGATCAGGTCTTGTACTTCCTGAACATACTCAGATGTCTCATGATCACATTTTCACTGCACTTCTTTAACTCTCACTCTGTCCCCCTTCAGCCTGTTCTAGTACAGGGTGTGTCACGGCTTATCTCCTGACAATCCTTCCCCACCTGTTTTACAGGATCGGCCACTCCTGCCATTCAGAGCCAGAGGCTTGTAGGCTGGACAGCAAAAGTGAGAGTACAGGTTGAAGTGGCCGAGGAGGATCCTCCCCCTTGCTCTGCCATAAAAGCAGGCAGAGTCTGCAGTCAGACACTCAGAGGGACTCAGCTCTCCTTTTGAAGCCTGCACATCTTCAGTTCTCTGCTCAAGATCATCATCTACCACTGCAAACATGAGTAGAAGAGCATATTCAGTCACAGGCTCTAATATGAGCAGCGCCAGGAGGTCATTTGGGGGGGCTCCAGCAAGCAACTACTCTGTAAAAAGAACCACCAGTCATGGCTTTGGTTCCGGTAGCGGTTTTGGTTCGATGTCAATGGCTAGTGGTTCTTACGGCCAAGGAGGAAACAATTTCATGGCTCCACCGATCACAGCCGTCCAAGTGAACCAGAGTCTGTTGGCCCCTCTCAACTTGGCGATTGATCCCACCATCCAGGTTGTCCGCACTCAGGAGAAGGACCAGATCAAGACCCTAAACAACCGCTTTGCCTCCTTCATCGACAAGGTTAGTCCTTGTGAGCTCAGTGTGAATTTCTCTTTTTCTAGTTAACAATAGGCCTTGTTGTGGCAATATTGATAAAACGGACACTCCCTGGTCTTCCTTTACATTTAACAGCTGTCAAAAGTGAATCAACTTCCTTTGCTCTTTCAACTTCAAACTGCTGAGCAATACTTACTAGTTGCAAAAAGTTTATTTTTTACTGTCAGAGCTGACAAAGGAAGCAGTTAATCTTATCTTTGTGGTGTTATACTCATCAATGAGTTACAGCCTCTGGGTTCAGGAAAGCTTAGAGAAATGTACTGTACTGAAAAGTCTGTCTGTGATCATGACCCTAACTGACACTGGCAGCCCCATCCTAATTCAACCTTAGGCAACAGTTGGCCTTTAGCCCCATCTGAGCCATCTGTGGTCTCCTTGCCCACTATATAAACATGGGTGGAGATTATTTTGCAATGACAGTTCCTCAAGACTGGCAGAGAAAACAAGGATATACAGTATCTGTACCCACAGGGTCCAAAGTCTGTCATTTGCACATTGCACCTATCACCTGGTTGTTATGGGCAACAGGAATGCTTAGTTCAGGGTAGTAGAACAACTTTCTCTTGTTTTTAGGATAAATATCCAAGGTCTGTGTTGAAACTTGCTTACAAGCTATACAGTCTTCCCTTCGTGTAGAATGAAGCTTTTGAAACTCTACAAATTGGCACTATGTCAAAAACTCACAACAAAGTACTCATCCCATGTTACTGCAATGCTTTGTCGTCTGCGGTTTATCTGCCACACCCAGTTTTTTTTATAACTACACTGACTGTGTGGCCTTCAAAGCTCAACTGAGCACACAAGATGAGTCACAGCCAGTGAAACAAAAGGTGAAACCCTTAAAGCCATATACACACTAGATGGAACATACAAGATTCATTATTTTTAACAGGGAAAAATTAAAATCTTTGTATTCAATGAGTGATAAAGGTGCAGAAGTTCCTTTTTGCATCTTGAAATATTTGAGTTGCTTAGACAAAAAGCAAGCTAAAGAATGCCGCCTAGAGTTACAATTGTTATGACGTGGGTGTGGCTCTTCAGATATGGAGATATCTAATCTGTAATGCAGGGTAAGGTCAGGCATTTTTAAACTAGATTCAATAAAACACACCTTTAAATCTTTAAAGCACTTATCCTTCCCTTAAGAATGGATAAGTTACTTTTGATTTATTATGCGCTCATTATCAATTCAGTTCAAGTATTCAAGACCTACTGACAATTGAAGCACCAGCCAGGCCCCTATTATACTACTTTGTATAATGAACATGCCTATTAAGACATCTGACAATCATGCCTGGTTTGGTGCCTCCACAGGTCCGTTTCCTGGAGCAGCAGAACAAGATGCTGGAGACCAAATGGAGCCTCCTGCAGGACCAGACCACCAGCCGATCCAACATCGATGGTATGTTCGAGGCCTACATTGCCAACCTGCGCAGACAGCTCGACGGTCTCGGCAATGAGAAGGTCAAGCTGGAGGGAGAGCTGAGGAACATGCAGGGCCTGGTTGAGGACTTCAAGATAAAGTAAGTGTTTGCATTACATGAGAACTAATTGTTCAAACAAGTTATACAACTGATTTAGTAGGCAGATTTCCAAAATGGAGCAAATGCACTCAAACACTTCTCTTGCATTCCTCCAGATATGAAGATGAAATTAACAAACGTGCGGGTGCAGAGAATGAGTTTGTGCTCCTGAAGAAGGTATGAAAAAAGGCCTTTTAATTTTTTAATTCCAAGGTTAAATACAAAGTTGTGCATGTATAACATTTCTTTTTTGAAATTAAACTCTTTCTCAGGATGTTGATGCCGCCTACATGAACAAGGTGGAGCTTGAAGCCAAAGCTGATGCTCTTCAGGACGAGATCAACTTCCTCAGGGCCGTCTATGAGACTGTATGTATCTATTTTGTCACCTTTGATCCACTGATAAACACCAGAGCTAAGCTGATTAGCAACAGGAGTTAATTGGTGCAACATCCATTGGTTGTTTAGGAACTCCGTGAGCTGCAGGGCCAGATCAAGGACACCTCTGTCATTGTGGAGATGGACAACAGCCGTAACCTGGACATGGATTCTATTGTAGCTGAAGTGCGTGCACAGTATGAGGACATCGCCAACAAAAGCAAGGCTGAGGCAGAGTGCTGGTACAAACAGAAGGTAAGTTAAAAACAACCCATCTGCACTGTCATCTGCATATACTGAAGACACCTCTACCAACTCTCTGGATCATATTACCAACACATGTTGTTTTATTGAAACAGTACGAGGAGATGCAGAGCTCTGCTGGACAGTATGGTGATGACCTGCGCTCAACCAAGACTGAGATTGCCGAGCTGAACCGCATGATCGCCCGCCTTCAGAATGAGATCGAGTCCGTCAAGGGACAGGTATGTCAAGATCTCCTAAAGAATGATGCCTCATAATGAAGAAACGTGATTGTACAGTTAATAACCAAACTGTGATATTAACTTCCACAGAGAGCCAACCTTGAGCTCCAGATCTCAGAGGCTGAGGAGCGTGGTGAGCTTGCAGTAAGAGATGCCAAGCTCCGCATCAAGGACCTGGAGGATGCTCTGCAGAGAGCCAAGCAGGACATGGCCCGCCAGGTGCGAGAATACCAGGAACTGATGAACGTCAAGCTGGCCCTGGACATCGAAATCGCCACCTACAGGAAACTGCTGGAAGGAGAGGAGAGCAGGTGGGATAAAGCTGACAATTCAATGTTTGATGGTTACACTTATGATCATCATCTCTGAATGAAGGACTAACTCTTTATTAATCCATTGTTAGGTTGGCCAGTGGAGGAGCCAACGCAACCATCCATGTCCAGCAGACATCTGGAGGTAAGATTCAACCTTAAACATTATAGTCACTATCACCATAAGTGATACGAAATCAAGAAACCTCACACACAGATGGTGGGATACCTGATAACTCTTATCTGTTTTTGTTTTTCACTAGGATACTCATCCGCCAACTCCAGTAGTGGATTTGGCTATGGTGGGGGTTATAGTAGTGGTGGTGCAGTTATGTCCAAGTCCGCAGTCACATCAAGCAGCAGAAGATTCCAATAAAAAGGAGAGCCGTCCCTCTTCCCCTTCAGAAGCTTTTTGATCTGATCTAAATCTGTACCCTTTCATGGTGCTATGCATTGCTATTAAGCAAGTTCTACAAGATATGGAATATCCTAAAGATTCCTGAAAGCATGTAATAATTATCACTGGCTTCTGAAGGTAATCAAAGCCTGCAACACACCAAGGCTGGATCAGTTAGCAGGACAGCATTAGTTTTCATTCTACACTGACTCCAAGGAATAAGGAAAAAGCAAAAACAAAAAAAATAACTATTCTGATAAGGTGTTAAAACTAAGCAAAGAAAACATTTGAAAATCAACACTCCACTTTTTGCACTATTAGTGGGCTCATCTGAAATATAGTCCTGCTGTACAGGTAGCATGATGGTGCTCATCATAGTGCTACATGTCTTCATCCTACAGGGCTGATATCAGAAAAAGGAACAAGTCACTGGCCAAATGCTGGAAAAATACAAACATTTTAAATCTGAGTGACTTTAAAAATTAACAGTTTAACTTTGAACTGATTGGCTATTAACCTGTTCTTTTTTATTTCAAAAATGTTTCTCTGTTTAGTTTTGCCTTTCCAGAACCAAAAGATTTAAGTAAGCTGAAACCAGGTTTATTTTGTAAAATCATTATTAACAACATGTCATGAATGTTGCAACAAGTCACATCAAATCAACTTGAATAAAATAAATCTGAGAACTGAAACATTTGTCTCTTCATTTATTGTATTTAATTACTGGAAAAAGAGAATGCTCGGCTACAACTCTTAAAAAGTGTTCAACTTTGATAGACACATGAATTTTCACATGGACAGTTTGGATGGGTGGTGCTGTGCATCTTTCACATTCACTATTAACTTTATGCTTGTTTTTTAATTTGCCAGATAAGTGCATAAAGCACTGCATGTCAACTCTACATTGTCATAACATCCTTATCCTGTTTCATAAAGGTTTTAAATCCTCAAAGCCTTACCCAGATTCAAAAGCTGTTGCTTTAATTGGAGCGTATTTGTAGAATTCTATAAAACTGTCACAATACATCCACTGCTACATAAATAAGGCTAGCAATGTACATGGACTGAATAAAAAAGTTGAAAAAGCATGGAACTAATTGTAGAAATAGCCAAGATCGGGACACTAATACCGTACATACTCTCAGCAATGACTGAAAATGTAAATCAATAAAATCTGTTTGGACATGGCTTGCTCGTTCTTGTGGCTACCATGGCAGATAAACAGGCAATCAGAGTGAAGAAAACTTGAGGTTGCCTGGATGTAACAATTTTGAACAAAATACAAAAAGGGAAAACAAGGAGCAACAAGTTCTGCAAGTGCACTGGAAACTCTGACATTGACAGACAACTACACTCAGTTACAACAATGACCTGACAACACGAGGGCAGGAACACTGAGACTAAATAGACATAAATAGATACAAACTTTGAAATACAAAACTAAAACAGACCAAATCATGACATCTTCATCCTGCAGGGATGAGGGGCGATAAGCTGCCATCTCAATGACCTGATGAAAGTGGCTTGCAGCCAACCTCGTGGAGAAAAAAGATGGGCTAGGCCAAAGTGCCACTCCTTCCATCTGAGTTCCAGCATGTGCCTCAAATAGGGCAGGAACTCGATGAGTGCTAAATGCATTGTACTGTCCAAAGCCACTGCTCTGCGCTGCCACACTGCCCCCCATCCTGATGGGGAGGACCTGGTCATTACCACATCGCGACCTGAGGGTACTAAACCCAACAAGACGCCTCTGGAAAGAAACTCCCTGCTTCTCCATTGCCACAGAGCAAGGAGACATCTGCTGGACACCATGACTCTCTTGGATCTGTGCTCCCTTGGATCTATGTGGAGGCCATTGGTCCAAACCTGGAGGGGCCGCAGGTACAAAAGGCCCAGTGGCACCACTGATGTTACAGACGTCAGCATACCCAACAGCCTGAGGAAAAGGCTGTACTGTCACCTCCTGCCACTTCAGAAATGGAGGAGAAGCTGGAGTATGGCCTCCACTTGTAAAACTGATTACAATCAATGCAGGAAAAAGCAACAAACTATATGCACATAAAATATATTAAAATGTGGCTCCTATTCTGCATATGTAAATAAATGACCAATACTTAGATATGTTTTCCTGGAGCTGAATGCATACCGCTGGAAATTATCTAAATAAATTAATATGGTCAGGAATTACATAAACCTAGTTTAAAATTCAGCCATGACCAGAATAGAGACATTTAAGTTAAAGTAATTGGTATTAGACTTCCATGAAAAGCCAAATACCACACCAATTATACACATGAATTATCAGGATTGACAGCACAGTGTTTATATCAGGATGAGCATGAGTTGTAAGTAGTTCTGCATGATTTATCTAATTGAAGTTGCAGTGTGAGAAGTTGCCCAAAACATATCTGTGAAGTTTCTTGCTATAATCCACTCTGATCCTGAATTTTAGCATGCCTAAAAAAACCTTTATTTCAGCCCTGCTAAGAACAGGCTGTTTCTGTGCCTGAAGCTTAAAATGCAAGTGAGCTGTGTTCAACCACACCCTCTGGAAGGGAATGTGCATGCTAAATGCACTCTCAATACCCAACGCAGACACACCGGACACACACACACACACACACACACACACACCGGACACACACACACACACACACACACACACACACACACACACACACACACACACACACACACACACACACACACACACACACACACACACACATCGGCTAAATGAACAGTTTGCTGAATTTCTTCTTTTTTTGAGTGTGTGGATTAAAGCAAATGGATTATTCACAGATGGATTATTGTTTTTACTTCTTAATGTTGTAATGCCTTGATTGTAAATGGGATGGTTCCAGAGGGTAGTAGGGGTGGCCTGGACACTTCTACCTTCTTAAAATATAAAGGCAACAAATATATTTTGTATTATTTCCCAATTTCCTGATCTGATGATATGATCCATGACTTACAGTAAATCCGGTATCTGATCCAATGGAAAATAAAACCTTATTAACTCAATTAAATGTATTGAAAAAATGTTTGTGAAACAAGAAACATAATGTATTATTTTGGGCCTGTAAAAAAAACCCTACTTACTCATAATGCCATTTATTATGTTGAAATTGCAGATTGCAATATTGTCCACTATAATCGGAATCGCACAATTTCATCCAATCGTGCAGCTTAAATTGTAAGCAGAAAATGACCAGATGCTCAGCTGATTAAGAGCTACATAAAAAGCCTTTATTGGTATGGCAACTGATTAAGCAGACAGGAAAGGTTATTCATTAATTTTAAAGTATGACATACCGGTACTATAAACATCAGCTTAACTACAAAATCTAAAAACTAAGGTTTTACAAGGGAATGCTACCTAGTGTAAGAAAAAGAGAAATGAACCAGTAAAATGTCTGAGACATAGGTATGTTATCATGGATCATGTAGCATAAGAAAATAAATGGTGTCTGACAAAAATATTATATAAACTTCACAATTATGTTTCACTAATTGGAGATGTCGTTGTACATCTTCAAATACTCACAGCCATTAAACATGGAGCCCTCTACCAACTTAACGTCACAATTAAAACTTTGGTTCAAAACTGTGCTGAAACCTCTATAAAAACTAGAGATAGTATGCTAGAATGTGAAAGTATCAAACTGGTTTCAAAGAATCCCAACCCTTCTCTTCAGGCCAAGAACCATGGGCAGTAACCAGGCTACAAGTAATGCGAGTTAAACTGTATTTTCAAGAACAAGTGGGTAAAGTTGCATTTTGTCTGTATTAAACAACTTCACAGTTGTTTAGCTTTTTTAAATTGTGCTCTAGTGTTCCCACAAGCTTCATTTTCCAAAACGTTTTTCAGCGCTAAAAAGAGCTATGCTTTTATAACTGGTCTTTCAGTTGGAACTTCAATATCGTTTCACCACTTTCAAATGAGAACTGCAGATGCTAGAACTACTGCTTATCAATGAAGGTCTGTAAAATAGATATAATATATATTTAATATATGATATATAATAAATTGTCAATCGGTCCACACTTCCAGAGCAATTTTTTAAAGATTTTTTATTATTTAATTAACAATATGTTATAAAATCCTGCCTATTCACATAGGCATTTAAAGTGTTGTGTTACAAGAAGCGTTCTTCACTAACAGGTCAAAGTTAATAACGAGTTTTGTCATTAAATAAGAGACAACCCCCAGATCTTGTGAAATTTAGGCACAGAATATACAGTATGTTGTTGTATATGACTCTGTCAGTATCGCTTTTTTAGCAAGTGTATTATATCAGTCGTGAATAGTGGATGAAGAAGCATCTTTCCATCGACAGTACATTATAGCTCTTTAGCAACTGCAAAGGCTGTATCCAGCCACTTGATAATGGGTTGATATTAAGTCTGGGGAAAATACCAAGCAGGCAAAATTTAGGGTCTGGATCCATTTGTTTTCTTGTTATTTCATTAACCTTTTGACTGACCTCAAGAAACTCTTAATTGTGACACAATCCCTAACCTTGTGCAGGTAGGTCCCTGCTTCAGCTGAATATTTCCAACAGGTACCCATTGGTCTGTGGCCAACTCCGTGTAGCTTGCTAGGGGTCCAGTGATACCGATGCACCTTTTTAAATTGTGCAAATTTCAGTGAAACATCCTTTGAGACTGTTTGGGCTCTACGCAAGACCTCATCCCACTCTACTTCAGTAATGTCCCCATCTATATCTGAACTCCACATTCTGTTATTTTGACAATTCGTTGTTTTTTTTTACAGATTCCAGGGGTGCCTATTTTAGATTGTTCTCTTTCCAATAAGCATTTCTCCTATTTTTTTTATTGTTACTTCTAAAGGCTACTACCGCACGTCTTAATAAGAAAAACTTCCACCCAGATAATTGGACAGGAGAGATTTCTGCTTTCACTTTTATATATGATTTGATGTCAACATTTGTGTATAAATCAGTCATTTTAGAAATTAACACTTTGACACTACTTCCCAATTAAATGTATGAATCATCCTCCAGATGTTCCTATTTAAAATAAAATAAAAACGTCTGTCCACGATACATTGTTGGGGAGATATGGATCTCCTAGCTTGCTCAGCTTAGGTATGTGTGTGCCTTATCTTGAAAGATGTATGTGCAATGAAGGCACAACAGCACAGAGAGAGGTATAAAGTATCATATACATCTGTATTACACAACTTATTAGACAATGTTTCCCTTTGTTGTTAGAGCATTTAATTGGTTGATTACTAATTGGGATGTTATATTTTGAACATATAGCCAAAGAATGCTTGAATACAGTTCCTACAATAGCTTTAAGGGACACTTCTTTTGAAAGAGTAAGGGCACCTAAAATGCTGATTTAAATGTGCTGGTGCAGGGTGTGTCATTGCTTATCTTCTGAAAATACCTCCCTTCCAGTTTTACGGGACTGATCACTCCTGTCATTCAGAGACAGAGGCCTGGGGGCTGAGGTGGAGAAAGGATGGACAGCAGAAAGTGACAGTACAGGTTAAGGTGGCCCCTGAACCCACCCTGCTTTAGCTATAAAAGCAGTCAGAGTTGGCAGTCAGACACTCACAAGGACTTGGCTCTCCATTTGAAGACTTCACACCTTCAGTTCTCAGAGTTAACAACCTCTACCGCTGCAACATGATGATGAGAAAGGCATACTCAGTCACCAG